TTTTTTTTTTTTTTTTTTTTACATAAATCTCATTATAAGATGGATTGCTGAGAGGTTTAAAAAGCTTTTTAATTTCTGTAAATGGAAGCTTTTTGATCTGAAAGGAGTGGCAAATTATGTAATTGGCAACTTGGCTATGGGGTTTTGACTTTGAAGCAGGATATATGTAGATTATAGAGGAAAAAGAAAATGAATATATCTGCTGAAGCTTTTTGTTTGTATGTTTTAATAGTGGTGACTGCTTCCTGTCCTCTTCTTTAACTTTAGACAAAAGGGAAGATTCCAAACTTCAAGTCTACTATTTTGTGCTGCCCCCACACCCCACAAGAAAAAGGTCATGTTGTGTGTGGAAGATTTGAAACATCCCCATATGCGTGTGTTCTTTCATGTTTGTTATTCGGAAATCAAACCATATGAAAGCGCTCGAATAACGAATCGCACGGGATTATTAGCAGCCTATTTATTTCAATTTGTAGTTATTAGAGAAATGAGGATAGGTGGAATAATTAAGTTTGGGGAATATATACTTTTCCGAGTAGCTGATTTTCACTCTTCAGTGATTAAGATTACAATTAAATGTGAAGAATTATGGTGTCAGTTGGAACAACAATCAAGAAGAAGAAAACATACTTTTTCTCCTTTTCCCAGGATGGTGCCTTGCAATTGATAATACATTGGTTTGGTTCGGTAATTATTGGCTTTATTAAGTGCCAGCGCTAATTGCATGTGAGATCCAGTATTCTAGTTCTTGGAAATGGATCTAGGCATCTAGCTACGTGACCCCACAAATTATTTGGCCTTTGATGGAATCAGTGATATTTTGAGAGGAAAGAAGGCTAATAATATGACTCGAATTGGTCCTGTCTAGTATATGACGTTTGATTTTCGTTGTTTCTTTTCATTTAACATATTTTTGATTGACAAGGGCCTCATGATTTTCTCTCTCGCATTTGTCGTCATGCAATTCTTCCTTTCATGTTTTCCACACCTTATCTTTATCCTTTATCTTGGTAACCAGTACTCGATATGATCAAGGGTTCATTTGGTTCAATACCTTATTGTCATTAATTTCTCTTTTAGGGTGACTTCTCAAAAACTTGGGTTTTGGTCTAGGTGAGTGTTTTGCTGGATATACTTTGCTTTTAGATTAAGATAGGCTGATTTTGATTCCAATTTATGCCTGCCTTATGGATGATTGTTTCATGGACAATGAAAATTCACATAATATTGCACAAAAGATTGCATAATACGGACTGCTTGCCTTCTAAAGGCTATGACATTCGTTAGCAATTTGTGAATTCATATTTGCATTTACTTTGTTTGGTTTTGTCCATGATTTGTTATATTAGCACCCCTCCACTGGTCTCCACATTATTATTATATTATCATACATGTGGATAAATAAATTCTTTTTAATCCATATGAACCTTTTGATTGCAATGACAGTGTACTTGATTGTGCTGCACAATATGACATGAAGGAAAATCAGGATACAGCAAATTTTTACTCTGAAAGTTTCACGATGGGGACGGATCACCTGACATTGAAAAGTAAAGAAATATATGTGCCAGATAATTGTAGAATCAATTTTGATCCTCCAGCATTTGAGGAAAAAGTCAAAGATGAGAACGGTAAGGATATTGTTGCCGTTACAAGTGATAATGAAAGTGGAACCATAGATTCTCCAAGAAAGGATGATCAAGGTAGACTCTTAGATAATTTAAGAGGTTGGGAGAGAGATTACGACCAATCATCTCAAGTCACACATGAGAAAGAGAGCAGAAGCCAGATTAGTATAAAGCACGAGAGTTTAGTGACAGTTAAGGACTTTACTCTTTGTAATGAAGATGAATATTCTATTTCTCAACGAGGGGCTTCTGGTTTGTCTGAGCCAGTTAGAGATGTTTTCACCGATAAGAATGTATTGGAATATGAACTGCTTGAGTTGGAGGTTATGAAGGACATATGGGTTGATAACGAGAAAATTAAAGGAGCTTTGTCTATTGAGGTTGATAACAGCTGTGTTGCTAGTCAATGTGAGGCCAAAGAAGATAATGATGGAAAATCTCTTGATCATGAAAGCCTTAAATCTTCCTCATTTGGCTTGTCTGGAGAAGGTACTGCCAAGAATTATGATCCACTGGGATTACTTCAGATAGCCGGGGAAAAGTTTGCCTCGACAAATAATCCAGAAGAGGACTCAGCCGCCGATGAGAAATTTCCAATTCAAGAGTATGGAACTCGCGATTCTCTAAGATCTTTGCTCGATTCTTTAGATGGCGAGGGGAACAAACCAACTCAGCTGCCTGATCAGGTTTGTGTCATTAACCTGTGTTTTTAGGGTGCACATTAGCTGTTGATGACTAGGTGCTCTGTTTTTT